TGCACGCCTTCCCAGTTTACAATGGTAACATTCTCAGCAGTTGTCTCTTTGCCCATTCATTCTTATGCATAGTTAAGGAATCTACCCCACCACCCCAGCTCCAAACCAGAAGACATAGAGAACCAAACTTAGCATCAAAATATGTATTTCTGCCTACTGAACTACTATACCAAATTTGAATCTGATTGGGCAACCTTAAAAAAACTTATTAGAAAAAACAGAAAATTTGTGGACGGAAAAGTGACAGACGGACGGACAGAGTGATTACTATAGGGCACCCGCAAATCCTTGCGGGGCCCTAATTAATTTACTTCATTCAAAATCAACATGTTTTGTACCCACGGAGCACGATGTGATTTAACCACTACAGGTTAAATCTATTTATCAAAGTGAAATAAATATTTGTGGTCTGGTCTGGCCGAAAATGCATTGGGTTTACCTGGCAAATTCTAATAAAAACTCCTGTGGAATATGAAAGCACAATCACCAACCGTTCAAAAGTTAGGACCAAAGATTATTTTTCAAAAGTAGGCTGAACTTCAAGGTAAAAGGCAAAAGATAATGGTGTCTGGGGCTAGGTCTTGTAACAAGAAATACACTTTGTTATTCATTTATTGTCAAGGTTATGGAGTTTTATTTACTCATACTCCATGTTCATGATAAACTGCTTAAAATTTTTGGTGTTCAAGGAAGGTCATGTCAAGAGAAATACACGTGTGAAATATAAAAGCCGTAGTACTGCATGGTCAAGAGTTATGGAGAAGGTTAAATAAAAAAATTAAGCCAAACTGTAAATTGTTGCCCTCGTGGTGCAGTGGTTAGAGCGTCTGCTCTAGAGTCACAAAGTAAGGAGTCGATCCTTACGTTGCGGGTTCGAATCTCACTGTGGGACGTAGAGACCGGCCCTTCGAATGAGACCGTATAAACCGAGGTCCCATGTCGCAGTAGGTGCTGGCACAAAAAATCCCTGACTGTTCAATGGCCCTAAGTGGCAAGCATAGGACAAAATTTGCAGCTCTCCACCGGCAAGCGGTGGCGTCTCCATATAAGTGAAAAATCTCGAGAGGGATGTTCAACAATAATTAATCAATCAATCAGTCTCTAAGGTCAAGATCGTAAGGGGGGAAATTGTTGGTATCGAAATTTGGGCTTTGTCCCGAAATATAACCTGTTGAAATATATGTAAGTCCTAGTTCTGATTGTTCAAAAGTTATAACGTATGTTAAAGATTTATATTGAGTTTGTCAAACTCTAAGGTCAAGGACTCAAGGACAAAGATATTTACACCCAAGAAAAGGTCTTCATAATACATACATGATTACTAGTATATGAAGTTAAAAGCCCTAGCATCAAGCCATCAACTATACAAAAAAGTTAAGGCCAAGGTTAAAGTTTGAAGTTTTTTTTTTGGCAAGGCCAAAACACCAACTTTGAAGGTCAAGAGGTCGAATACATTCTCACTCTATGAAAGGTATTGTCACAAGGAATACACACATAATATATTAAAGCTATATAGCTCAAACCGATCAAAAGTTAAGATCAAGGTTAAAGTTTTTGCAGACAAATACTAGTAGTATTAACAGACAAACAGCTGGACAGACGGATGACGGACAAGGCAAAAAATATACCAGCTACAGAGCTCCGTAGTTGCAACTGTTCAGAAGTTATGGTCAAACTTGGAATAAGATAAAGTTTTACAAAGGTATGTCAAACTCTACGGTCAAGAGAATATGTTGATACCCAAAGAAACTCATTACATATAAAAACTGTAAACATAGCAGCCTATTCACATAATCTTCACTCAATTATTGCTCCCTTGAAAGAATTTCCAGGGAGCCATCAAAAACAGACACAGATTTGTAGTTTTCTGATTTACTGCATGGGTATTTATTTTGAACAATTTATGCTGCATGATGTTTTCTTTTATACAAAACTCTGGAGTTAATTGTGCATGATCATTAAAATATACTTTTCTAATCATTTCATAACAATAAGAGGCCCATGGGCCACATCGCTCACCTGAGCACTGTGGCTAAGAACAAGCAAAAATCAATTCAGTAATTGTTTAAAACGTCCAAACCCTAAGAGAGGGATATGATTAGAACAAACCTGAATCTACATTAATTTAAATCTACACTAACTAAGATGGTTAGATATATTCTGACTGTGGTTTTTTTCCCTTTAAGTTTTTACTTTTATTGTGGTCCCACCTACACCCCTAGGGGTCATGATTTTAACAAATCTGCATCTACACTACCAGAGGACGATGTAAATCTTTGATTGTCCATTGTAGCCCCGAACTTGAATCTACACTATCTAAGGATGCTTCCATATAAATATGACTAATCATGGCTTTGCTGTTGTTGAGAAGAAGATTTTAAAGATTGTTCCCATATATTTCTATTTAAACCTTTGATCGTCCATTGTGGTCCCACCTTATCCCAGAGGGTCATGATTTGAACAAACTTGAATCTACACTACTTGAGAATGCTTCCACATTAGTTTCATCTTTCCCGACCCAGTGGTTCTTGAGAAGACTTTTCAAACATGCCACCAAATGTTCACTATTTCTTAATTATATCCCCCTGAGAAAGGGCTGGGCCCTTCATTTGAAAAACTTGAATCCCCTTAACCCAAGGATGCTTATGGCAAGTTTGGTTGAAATTGGCTTAGTGGTTCTCGAGAATAAGTCGAAAATGTTAAAAGTTTACAGACAGACACACTACAGACAAAATGTGATCAGAAAAGCTTACTTGAGCTTTCAGCTCATGTGAGCTAAAAAGGTTAACTTGATAAATGTAGACTTATAGTCGATAAATAGTAGAGTAGTTTATTAACAGTAGACCTATGGTCCATTAACAATTGACTTAAAGTAACAGTAGACTTATAGTCCATTAACAGTTGACTTAAAGTAAAAGTAGACTTATAGTCCATTAACAGTAGATCTATAGTCCATTACAGCTGAGTACAAGTAATAGTAGACTTATAATCCATTAACAGTTGACTTAAAGTAATAGTACACTTAAAGTAGTACAAGATTTATAGTCGATAAATATTACAGACTTATAGTCCGATTGGAAAGAGTATCCATCTGTCAATATATCCTGCAAGGTGCTGCACAAACTGAAACAGAAATTGCATTTATAATTTGTCAGGATAAAATGCCCATAGATCATATTCTCGTAAATAAAGCATGTTACGATGTCTATTATAATTCATGACTGAGGTTTACCTTATATCTCGGACAAATATCACTGGACACCCAGCCATCAAGATCAGAGTATACTTGTCTCGGGATGCGAGGCTGGTGCAGCTTTTTGCAGAGATTACAAAATGCGTGAAAATGAGATGTCTCCACATCTAAAGTTTTCCTCCAAGAAAAGTAGCCATTGTATAATGTTTCATTGGTTGCGACGGATTTCAGGTATTTCACTAGATCTTTAATACTGTTAAAGTCATATATATTTATCACGTGACTTGAGTTGACTCTGGTATCTTTTTGGTCTCTGGCCCAATTTACTACCGGTATCACGCCTTGCTTTAAGGGAAACCATAGTTTTTCCGTGACGTAATCCTTGCAGTGAGAATTTTCAAATGATAATCTGAAGAAATAATCTTGCGCCCGTTCTGTTGACAAACATTGCTGGAACTTCGTATCACATTTCAGTGAACCACAAGAACCAAAAATATCTATATTGATATATTTCTGCAATTCTCTCACAATTCGATAACGTTTGCCGTTGTCATTACAGCGACTAAAAACAGCAAAAGCAAACTTTTTTCTATTTGAAAATGGCTTTAAGTATTTTGTGGAAGGTCTTTCTACGAAGGATCCATAGGGTGCAAATACAGTCGAATCTCTTCTATATGACATAGTCCAGTTGAAGAGACCATTTAATACAACGATATCACGTTCTATGTACGTTGTTGGTTCAAGTAAATAAAGAATCCAAATTTGATTCAGTACGTTTCTCTTTGGCAAATCTTGTACATCAAGATCATATCTGTGATAATGAAAGAATACTGCATCACTTTGGGCTAGTCCCTCTCTTCCAGTGGCTTGACATTTATAACGACATTTTGATAAGACAAATTTAATATTATCTAACCATGCATGTCCGAAAAAAGTTGTCCATACTGCAATGGTTTTTTGCTTATGCTTAGGAAGTGTCATATTAGAAAATGTAGTCACATATGAATGCGTATGACTATAAAATTTCACATTATGAATGGCCATGGAATCAGTATAATTCTCATAAAATAGAAGAACGTACAAAATCGTCATGATCAGACTAATGGCTACTAAACAAAGGAATCCCTTTACTAGTAAACACCGCCTACATGTTGAACACTTGTTTCTTTCACATTTCATCTGAAATAGATAAATCGGTTGTTAGTTAAATGAATGAAAATTAAGCATGTGATTATGTAGGTAGTTGTGCGTTATGTATCATCTGTGATTTTTAACAGAAAATTGGATGTTCAAATTCGCCCGAAGGATAATTGAAAATCCCGTCCAAATAAAATGCCCCATCTAAGTCAACAGGCACTTGTTTCGGTAATAAAATTTTAACCCATAGTATAATAATAACGTACACAAGGTAACTCCAAATTACACTAAGTACCCCTTCCCTCAGAAACGCATTCATTTACACTTTCAGAGGAAATACACTGTCAAACTGTTTATTACCATTGTCTTCTACGATACATAATCTACACAACCATACATAGTATGGTTGTTTTTGTTTCCGTTTGCGGAGATGGTTGTCTTTGTTGTCTGACGTCACGGCGTCAGACAGTACTAGATTTAACCAGGGCTTATTTATGCAGTCGTTCCATGAAATTGTTTAGATAGTTCGATGGTTGAAATTTCGATACATGCATAATCTCCAAAGACGCATGTAGTTCGTCCCAGGAGAAAATGAGCTTTTATTTACATTACTGAATGATCTTGTCTTTAGTAAAATCCGTGCTTTCATCTTTGAGCGTGTCCGCCGCTTCAAAATGTCTATTACAATGTATATAAATCTCACTGTTTCGAGTTGTGTATCAAAGATTAAGTCATTTTACATGTTATGGCTAAATAATTGATTGCTTATTTTCAGTAAAATTATACCTTGACATTGTTTTACTAGTATGCAGTGAAAACAGAAAAAAATGTCTCATTCAAGTTTTGATTTAAACATATTTTATTGAACACAATCAATGGGATTGGACACAAGTTATACCAACTTAGATTGTCCTCTCCAACACAAACAAAAATAACGAGAATATATACACGTGATGTACAAGCAAGAAATACAATTATATATTAAAAAAAAAAAAAAGAGGAAGAAGAAGAAAGTGGTGCAGAGAGATAAGAAAAGAAGGGGATGGGAGTGCATGGAGAGAAGAAATAAAAGGGGGGATTATAAATTAAGGATACAAAATGGTTACACTGGTTATTCATAAAATCTTTTTGATTTTTTAATATATTTATGTACAGCTTTAACAATATTGATATCATTTTGTTGACCCAATGAAAAAAGAAAATGTACAGAAACATAAAAATTAACTGAAATATAGTTTAATCTAGTACACCTTGCGAGGACAAATGTCAACAAAGAAAAACAAATTTATATACACGTGATGAACAACAAATAAATCTACAATGCAAAAAAAAGGAAGAAAAGGGTGCAGAGAGATAAGAAAGGTAGGGAAAAGGAGTGCAAGGAAGGATGAAAGAAGGAAGGGGATTTTAAGGATACAGAATACATGTAGTTACGCTTACTGTTCAAAAAATCTTTTCGAATTTTTAATATATTTATGTACGGCTTTAATAATATTGATATTATTTTGTTGACCCAAGTTTGGGTCCCCAAAAAGTATTTTATCAAGGTCTATTTCTCCTTTGTTATTTTTTATAGTATGGAATAATTCTTTTCTTATTTCAGTATAATTTTTACAATAGAGGATGAAATGCTCAGTGTTTTCATTAATATATCCACAAGAACACTTGGTATTGTCTGAAAGTTTAAACTTAAAAAGATCTGCCTTAAGGAGGCTTACATTGTGCCTCATTCTGGTTAAAATTGAATTCCATTTTTTGTCGCCATAAGAAAGATATTTTGGGGGAGGATCACCTTTAGAGAGTCTCTTTTTAAAAGCATTTATAGTGTCAAGGTTTCTAGTCTCGGTAGGCAATGCATTCCATGCTGATATTGTAGATGGAAAAAATGAGTTTTTTAATAAATTTGTTCTACATTGGGGAATAACAATATTATTACTATTTCGTAGATCATAATGGGTAGTTTGAGAAACTTCAGGGGGTAATAGATTTAGTAAATATTCTGGTGCGAGGCCATGTTTTATTTTATACATTAAACATAATTTTCTCCTTTCCCGTCTACAAGCAAGAGTTTCCCATCCCGTTTCAAAAAAAAGAGATTTACGAGAAGCATAAATAGGAAGGCCTGTGACAATACGCGCAGCTTCTAATTGTAATTTCTCCAGCCTATCACAGTCAGCTGCGGTAATATTATCCCATACTTCTGATGCATATTCAAATAGGGGTCTAATAAAAGTAATATACATCTTATTTAAAAAGTCACGATTTAACGTTAATTTCAGTTTCCGAAGAACAGCAATTTCTTTTGAGGTCTTTTTAATAATATTGTCAATATGGTTTGTCCACTTCCCAGAATTTGAAAAGATTAGTCCAAGGTGACAATGAGTAGAGGATGGGACTATTTCTTTATTGTCAAATTTAAATCTTAGATTGGATAATTCGTCTTCTTTACAACCAAATATTAATATTTTGGTTTTATCGGGATTAAATTTTACAACCCAATTTTTTGACCATTCATTAATCTGTTCTAGATCATAATTAGTAAATCTTTCCAAGTCCTGCAAGTTTTTGGAAGTATTGGACACAGATGTATCATCTGCAAATAATCTAGAGAGACCTAAGAGTCCACATGGCAGGTCATTAATATAGATTAAAAAAAGTAAAGGACCAAGCACAGAGCCCTGGGGAACTCCTGCTTTGGTTTTTCCTACGGAAGAACTTGATGATTTTATTTTGACCTGTTGTGATCTACTAGTGAGATAATCATTTAGCCACACAAGAACCTCTCCCACAAACCCATATTTTTCTAATTTGTATTTCAATCCTTTTAACCAAACTGTGTCAAATGCCTTGCTAATATCGCAAAAGGCAAAGCACGTGATTTCTTTATTGTCTAGGGCAATACAGATGTTATGATAAATTTCTATTAATTGGGTAACAGTTGAATGGTTACGCATAAATCCAGCTAGTAAGTTGTATAAAAGTTTATGTGATACTAAATGATTATAAATGTATTAAAACATTACCCTTTCAAAAATTTTCCCTATGCAACTCAATAAGGAAATGGGTCTGTAGTTGGATGGGTTTGATTTCTCACCCTTCTTAAAAACAGGTATTACATTAGCATGTTTCCAAGCACATGGAAATTTCCCAGTTCTCAGAGATTTATTAAAGATGATTTCTAGCGGGATTGCAATCTCATTACTTATTTCTTTTATTAAGATATGACTGAAGTTGTCTGGACCAGAGGCTTTTTTTGGATCTAGAGTTCCAATAATATCGACAATTTCGTTTTCGTTTATTACTATATTTTCAAGTCTGGCTTCTGTTCTTGATTCGAATTCAGGGAGGTCTTTATCTATGTTATCATTAGAAGAAACTTTACAGAAATAAGCATTCAGTACTTCACATTTTTCTTCATCTGTAAATACATAATCATTATTTTCTTTTAGTGGAGGAACGGAGTGTGACGGCTTGGAACCTTTCAATAATCTGCGAACTATCTGCCAATAAGTTTTGGAGTTTGTACAATTTAGATGATTTAATGATTCATTTAGGTTTAATAAGTATTCTTCTTCTAGTTTCTTTTTAAAATTATTAACTTTATTTCTTTGTTTACGGTATTTTGCTTTATCTTCCTCATTTTTTGATTTTCTGTAAGCTTTTCTAAATTTTTCGCGCAAGTTTATTTCTTTCCTAATTTCAGAGTTGAACCAAGGTTTATCGTCCGGTCTTACTATTACATCTTTTTGTGGGATGTGTTCATTCACCAATTTTGAAATTTTTTCGTTAAATTTAACTACATCAACGTCAACATCTTTGCTATTTAAAATTTCATCCCAATTTGTTTCATTCATATCCGTTCTAAATAGATCAAAATTAGCTCTTTTGTACTGGAAAATCTTTCGAACATACGTATTTTTAATCGCTGTGTCTAGTTTGAATATAATATAGGTTGCTTTGTGATCACTTATAGTTTTGTCTATATCGATAGTTCCTGATTCAAGGCAATCAAGGGTATCTGTGATAAGAATGGGATCAATACAAGTCGATGTCATATTTGTCACTCTTGTTGGCTCGGTAATATAGTTTGTGAGATTATATGTCATTATTAGATCATTTACGTTGGCTGGAAGCTTTTTACTGAAATCTATATTCCAATCACCATTTAATACTAAATTATTAGATTCATCTAGAGCCCTTCCGATTGAGATCTCAAGTCGATTCCAGAATTCAACCTTGGATGTTTCAGGGGTCTATAGATGGTGCATAAAAAAACACTTTTTGATTTTAACTTTATTTCAACCCATATTGTTTCATCAAACGCATTTTCAAAATCATGGCGTCTCAGAGCGACTAGGCCTTCTCTTATATAAATAAGGATTCCACCGCCATGACTAGTTCTGTCTAATCTAAATGGAGTATTGTAACCTTCAATTGTTAAATTCTCTGTGTTTACTAGTTCATTTAAATGGGTCTCAGTAAAACATAAAATATCGTTCAATTCAAAGTAGTTCACTATCTTGTCTAATTTGTGTCGTATACTTCTACAATTCATATGAAAAATTGATAAACCATTTACGTTTAGTTCAGGACCAGGATTTTCCGCAATATCATTATATAAAAGGAGTAAAGTCATGAGGAGAAGAAAATTTTGGATATTAAGTATGTTTCTAGTGATCAAATCATGTACTTGGAAGAGGAAAAACAGTACTCTTCTTATTTGTTTGCCGTATTTAAAAATAAAAAATCTTTTTCTCCGTATGGTTATCTTGTGACACACGGAGTAATAATTTCCAATCGCCGCACGATATGTCATTAGATCATTACCCATGATCTAAGACACCAAATCTAAACAAGCTAAGACAGCTAACTCTCGTGCAGCGACGGTGTAACGTTGAATATTGACACGAGTTGAAAATTGATCCGGGGGTCATTTTTCAACGTTGAATATTGAACCGGGGTCATTTTTCAACGTTGAATATTGAGACTAAAAGTCGTTGAATTTATACCCGGGGTCATTTTTCAACAGCTTGATAATTTTT